GTTCGCGAAACGAATATTTGAAATGTAATATAATAATCATCATCACTTGATTTAGAAAACAATTTACTTGATCCTTTGAATGATAATAATAAGTTTAGTCCTATTTTTTTTAAATATTTTTAGGGATATAAAGTAATAAAAATAAATAATTAAACAAAAAGGAGTATGTCGATTGTAGCTAACATTGCGACCGAATTTACTATAGATTATAGACGTAATGTCTTGTAAAGTAACGTCACACATAATGCTACTACAATAGGGATGTCATTTTTCTAGTAAATCAGAACATGTACTTACTTTCGTATTTGGCATAGTATAAAGAGACCAAAGATGACCACTTGGCATTTCTATTTCCACGCTTGAATAAGAAAAATCAAGACAAGTATATTGACTTAATTTATATTGAATTGTAGGTTCTTTCTACGCATACGTATGTATATAATTACTCTAATGTTAACAATTTCAGTTGTGTTGTCAATTCACAAAACAAAAACGCAGATTATTTTTCATAAAATTTTGTGTGCAGAGCATTTCGGGGGCAATAAATCGATCTAGCTAGGATTTATTTTTAAAAAATGTCTTTTTGTCCGTATTTTTAGGCAATGAAAAACTGCTACCATATCGTTAGAATAAGAAGGTAAATTTTGACTTTTTATTAATGATTACACATAGTTTAATTGCTATATAGGGCGATCACAAAATCGTAATACCACGGTTCGAGCCCAGACCGACCGACCGACTTTTTTTAATTTTTTTTCGTTCCTTTCTTTTTTGAGAAAATCTATTTTTTCGTGCCCTTTTTTTTAGTATTTATTAAAAACACAAAAATTTAAATTAAACTAATTGCACTCATGATTTTTTATTCAAATAACCAGTTCAGTTTTTTCTATTATGTCGCTAGGATCAAAAAATATTATTCGTATTTCATCAGTATGTAATTTGTATCTAAATATAATTTCCAAAACACACGAATTAAAAAAAACCGAGCGAAAAATACCGAGCAAAGCTCGGTCAACCGGGTACTAGATTTATAAAGCGTCATATAACAATGATATAACGCCAGCTCGGTCCCAGATTTTGCGGAAGTGTAATATTAATTTAATTTATTATTAATTCATATAATTCGAAAATTATAATTTCGAATTCCCACATTATGCTAATAATGATATAGTCCCATCAAAAAATCTGGTTTGTGCCGTATTTCTTACAAAATCCTAGCAAAATGGGCAGTAGCATAAAGGGATCGCGATGTCTCATACGGTTATTTTCAATCTGCATGCCAAGCGGGACGATTTAGATAAAATTTGTACGTGGTAGAGCCTCGCTGCAGCTATACTGTGGTTGTAACATGAATGGGTCGGCTCGACCGGGGAAGGACCACGCTCTCACAGAATACCAGCGTAAAATAACAGCTTAAGGGCCGATCTTCATTTGCCGTTCACAGTTCGTTCTCGGTCCGATCTCGGTCTGATTTATTGAAAACGCGAAACTTGACTGTTACGGATAGTATGAATGCACACATATTTTTACTTGATATTATTTTATCAGACCTAGATCGGACCGAGAACGAACTGTGAATGGCATTATAGTGAGGATCGGTCCTAATGCTGGTGTGTTTCGTATTTTGGATGTAGAGATCCGGAGACCTTTTTTTACTGGAATCGAGGCATTGCGTCTTAGTCCTCAGGGGTGACAACGCATCTGCGTTTAGATTCTTAATCGAGGATAAATGTAGATGTCTATGGGCCACAGCAACCACTTACCATCAGGTGGACTGTATGTTCGTTGGTCACCCTTATTCTATATAAAAAGGAAAGGCCCAGAATTGTAGGTTTACAGGTTAATAAAGAAGAAGAAAGAAGAAAGTTATGTTCACGTGTTATTGTATTTCACATGGGCCTTTTTGGTTTATATGACATTCCAAACTCGGAATTCATATAAGATATTTATAAACTTCTTACCGCTTAATTAATTAGGATTATAAGTTATAACTTACTTTATACATGGCAGAACAACGCTGCAGCTACATCATGGTTGTAGCACACATGGGTAGGATCGACCGCGGGGGCCACGCTCTCATAGAATACCAGCGTAAAATGACAGCTTAATGCTGCTATGTTTTTTATGGTGAGTTTAGAGAATTGGAGATCCTTCTCTGCCTGAATGCCTGGAGTATAGTAAGCTAGATAAGAGAGATTCCATCCTAGTCTTCAGGAGAGTCCTGAAAAAGTGTAGATGTCTATGGGCCACAGCTTACACTTACCATCAGGTGGAATGTGTGTTCGTTTGTTACCTTTATTCTATAAAAAAATAACGCTAATAATGATATTGCTACTTAACGTTATATGTTTTAGGGGATTCTCTATAAGATAGATTTTATTTTTCAGCGGATTTTATTGAGTTAGAACGAACATTGTAACCTGTTTATGTCGATAGCGTGTACTTCCTGTCGGGCTTTAGAGGGCGCAAGTGCGCCTTGTTGTACCAATAGAGTTAGCCGCAACAACCCTAATGTGCCTAATGTGTTTAGTTGTTGGCAAGCACTTTCGTAGAATGGCGTGCGGCCAAACAAGTTCGTCCTTGCTGCTACTGTGTCGAGAGAAAGACACGTCTTCTGTGTTCACGGCTTTTAGATTTAACACTTTAAGTCTTTGTCCTTTAAATAAATAAATATATAATATATAAGAGTTTTTGTAGCTCAGTGGATAAGTGCTCGCCCTAAATTACTTGTTGTACCCGAAGTAAAACATGTTTCGAACCCTTCCGACGCATTACGATTGTAGTGTTTAAGAGAAAAAGAATGAGATCTTTATTTGGTCATTCCTTACAAAATATTGTAGATACATGTAGTTCTATACAACATATTTGTTACAATTTATAACCTAGAATCTCAAATTACAACGAAGAGGATGTTTGCTCTATAAATCCTCTGAGAAATACGCATACTTTAATTTTACATAATAAATATTCATATGTTTACATCATAGAGTGACACGAGTAGCCATGGCGTTTTCCCCCGATACAGAACTAATTTTTATGTCTTGTTTTGAGGGGGCAAATATGCGCACACAAAAATGTCTGTCACTGCGAAGCACACATTACAATTAAAACAATAACCTTACAATTTCACACACAGCAGATAAATACATTATGATAGGTATCACTCGGATAAAGACTCGGATCAGTCGCTCGACCTATCTGCATAATGTATGAGCTATGAGGGCGAGCGGCCTGTGTTGGTAACAAATCCGAAACAACACAACCTTTATTATTGTAGCTTTGTACTTTAAAAAAAGTTGTTACTGTATGGTTTACATAAATAGAAAATGTTCTTATATTAATAACACACAAACGACAGACATGTGTCAATCATTCATTTTTCGTGACCGAATCATTCTAGTACATTTCGTCACGCGTACCAGTACATTCGGATCGTTCATTCAAATGGATCATTTCGGGCTCCAGTACTCTACACTAAAAACAATTCATTAAGATCATTCGGGATTAGTTCGATTTTTGACTTATTCACAATCACACCAATCACGAGTAAAAAAGTTTCCGTCACTTGTTTGTGATTTTTTGTGGTTGTACCGTAACATTCAAAAACAGATGAATGAACTATCAATACTTTTAAGTGTACCAGCTGAAACGAACAAATCATTCATGATTGACACATGTCTAACGCGTACACTCACATGCACACGCCGATGTACACGCACACGCACACGCACACGAACACGCACACGCACACTCACACGCTCAAGCACACGCACTCGTATGTACACACGCTAATAACGGTTAAAAATGTAGTGTAATCTCTATTGGCCTTACTGTAAATACAACAAAAACCTTATATGATTACCTAAATAAAATAAAATAAATCTATATTTGATATTATAGAGAGCCGGTGGTAACGCCTTTTTATCTGCAATCGCAGTCCGTGAGATATCTCTGGTATTTTTCAGTGTCGCCTCTACGACACACACGGGACAATGTAGGGTAAAGGATCCTCTTTCTTATTCTACTACTTATGTTGCTCGAAATTCATTTCAAGTTTTTATTAACGTTTTAGTAACACCGGTTTAAAATCTCTACGTCCCACTCCTGGGCACAGGCCTCCGCTTATTTCTGAGAGGGTTAAGGAGAATGCCCTGTGAACTTATAAAGAGAATGTTACAATTCAATGTTTGATTATTACCTAGGTGACTGTGAGTTACTCGCTGTAAGAAAAAAATAATTAAAACTGGGATGTAAAATAGGTGCACTCTCTTTCCCTCACTACTTCCAAAAATAGAAATCCAAAACGATCGGAGACAGATCAGGCGCAGTAAACCAGTAAACAACAGCTTTACATGCTTTCCGAGGAAAAGTGGTAAAACACTCCTAACTCTAAGATAATATAATAATATGAAATAATAACTCTAAGAGGTACTGAGAATTCCTTGACAGAAAATCCAATAACTGTTTTTGGCCTCACCCGGGATTCGAACCCACGTTATCAGCATTTGCGCTTAGGTCTACTAGACCGACGGGACCAGCCTACTCAAAATCTTTTCATTTATTTCATGTACTATGTCCACTGCTGCTGCCCCTATAGATTGCCTCATGGGGGCGGGGGATTTTGCCATAGTTGCCACGCTTGGCAGGCGGGTTAGCGAACGCAGTTTTTTATAATTTTGAGTGGCTGTCAGTAAGATTCTGCTGTCATCCTCCTATTTCAGTCTCCCTCTGTCATCTCTTACGACACCCACGGCACGCTATGGAGTAGTAGATATTCTTGCACCGCCATAAAATATTGCCGTCTTATTATTGCTCAATTATTCTGATTGCGCCTTTTCTTTACGAGTTTACTAAACTAGAGGATATTTTGAACTAATAATAACAAATTAATCTTTAAATTGGCATAGTCACATCCATGCCTTGGTAGAGAGCTTGCGAGGTGTGGCCCGCGATTTCGATTTCCGCAAGAAATGAACATTATTTGTTGCGGGTATCGAAATATGTTTGACCTACTTATGTTTTTCATGAGTTTGTGTTATTTAGTTTGAAATGTATTTGCCATAGCCTCTTTCCACTCCTGATTTATAGTGTGTAAGTCATTTACATTGCTGTATTACTTTATATTATTATATTATGTATAAAAATACTGACAGCTTTGTAAAATTTACGGATTTTCCTTTGATCTACTCCAAGTAAGCTTAGAATTCTTTGAACTCGCGAGATGACTGACGCTTAGATTCATTGACTTATAAGTATAATATTACTGAAAATTAAGACAAAACTTTTTCTTAAATTTGCGAAAATTTAGGATTTACCAGGGGAACATTTTTATATTTGTAATATAATAATTAATTATAACTATTAAAAAAGATATAATCTTTTTATTTTATTTCTGATTATATGAAAAAAAGGACGCGTTAATGCCAAAATATGTATGTTGAGAAAATAAAAAAATACGTGTGGCACTCGGTGACTGCCGCGGTAAAGCTATTGCATAGCATTTTTTATCAACTTATGCAATTATAATTATTTATTTATTTTATTTATGCAGTTAAGTCTTTGTTATTAAATCAAGTTACACTTTTTGAACGTGGTGACTGATAAGAAAACAATTTTTTTTCTCTTATTGAATAAATGAGAAGTTAATATTGTTTAAAATATTTTTAATATCTTACAATACATGTAGGTTATTCAGGAATTTTTATCATTGAGTTAGCAGCTAGTGTACACGCATACGTCTAGTCGCACGCACACAAACACCGTGCCGAAGTCTGCCGAGTGCCGAAGTCTGCCGAACTGAAACGACGTTAGACGATGCACGGCTTTCAGCGCCACACCTCCGTGCCCGTCGGAGTGGGGAGCGTGAGGTTTTTTTCGTTACGGAATTTCTGGATTCGGTCCCCGCGCTCAAGGCCCGCGATGGAAGCTATGCAATAGCTTAAAAGGTTGAAGGTAGTGTTTGGTTGCAGAGCTGTGTCGATTCCTGTTCAGAACATGTGTATCTATGATCTGCCAATAATTCTTCCGGGTCTGGATGTTTGTCCGTGTGCAATTTATGTTTATAAAAAGCTTTTACGATACCGCACACCTTCCGTGTGTGCGTGTGTACCGTTTATACAAAAAAGTAGCTTATTTTAGCCCCTAAAACCCTGTTAAAAATATTTTTTAGTCATTACATGTTTCTCTTGTTATAGGCGGCGGATGCACGTTCCCTGCAGACTGGACGGGCAGCTGGTTCCAGTCCGGGAACCCGGGTCTTATCGCCATCAACTCCACTCATATACAGTCCAAGGGCGAGTGCTACGAGACTGAGTCCTATGACAAATTTCTACTGTATGACAGGTTTGTAAAATTCCCTTTATATGCTCCCTTTCTTTATAAGAATACTAGTTACGCTATTACAATACAAATCTTCAAGAAAGCTTAAATACTTGTGTTAGGAGTTGTTCTCGAAAGTGTGGATTCAAACCTACGACTTTACGAGTTTACAGTTCACATTCCTTAACCCTTATCTACTGTCGCTTTTATTTTATTGGCAGTTGTGCAGAACAGGTGTGCAGTGCACGAGTTTAATGGATGGTAATCATAAATGACTTGGTGAGGCGGAAAACTGACCGCTTTATGTCCTTTCCTCGGCACATAGATGAAATATTTATACATACTTACCCCCTTCAACTGAGAATTTCTTGACAAAAAATCTCAATAAAAGATAATGAACCGACGCGGGATTTAAACCTGGAACAACATGATCAGTAATCACACTTGTGACCACTAGACTAACAAAGTAGTTAATAATAATTAATGTCTCATATATGAGACGAATATATCACATCGTCGTCAAGATATCAAGCACTTATCATTGTTGTCGCAGGAGGATTGTAGGAGAAAGAATGATGAATTATTTTACGTCGCCATCGCACGGTGAACTCCTGAATAGGACTGATTTAAGTTAATCGTCACACTTATTCTGAATATATATAGGTATAATTTGTCCATTTTCGGTTGCAATATGATTTCATGCTTTTTTCATTTCCCGTTATCCGTTGGAGCCTATTAAAGTACACTGTTGAACAAAGGCCTCCCCCATAGATTGCCTCATAGGAGGGATATTTGCCACAGTTGCCACGCTTGGCGAGCGGGTTGGCAACCGCAACTTTTTATTTTAATTGCTGCCCATCTCCTGATTTGTTTTCCGCTGACGCCTCTTACGACACCCACGCGATGGTATGGGTCAGTAGTGGATATACCTACCCGTCGCTGCACGGTATTTTCTTCTATCGTCCTATAATTTCCACATAGCTTTTGAAGTCGGAGCTTTACTCCTAATTCTTCTATAATACACTAAGTCATAGCACCGATGTCATAAGCTGTGTTATATAGAAAATATTATATTTATTTTTTGGCCTTTGTATTATGTTCTACTTTTTTAATAAAACTTTAACAATATAAAATCTTAGAATATGTATAAGTAAGCGCTTATATACTCTAAGTATAAAATATTTACATCGTTATTAGATCATCCTATCCTTTTAATATCCCTTCTATAATACTAACGTATTGGAAAAAGATGGTATTATAGTTGCACCATATTGGTAACCATTGTTTAAAAGTGTACCTTTCTTTCGTTTCCAGACGCGAGGAGTGTTACAGATGCATGGTTATTTTGGAGAAGCACAAGTACGTTCTACAGTATAAAGAAAGTAAGTATTTAGTAATTCATATTACGCTAATTTCTAAAACCGTAAAAAATTTTCGTAACGCGGTTAACGTTACTACTATTTGTTTCTTACACCAGCGACATCCTACGGCTCTTGCAGATTTTCTTTTCGGAGATATAGGGAGTGTCCACAGTGAATGCTTGTAATAAAATGATTTAAACGACATAATGATCGACGGATAGGTGTGTAATAGCATAATAAAGCAAGGTCAAATTATTATTGTTAGTTGGTTGTTGGTTGTATCCAGTTTGCGCGGCATAAGTACGACTCGATTAACAGTTTCTAAATATTTAAGTGTTGGGAAAAAACGCGCCGACCGTTTGCTTGTGGTCAAAATACCTTGTTATGACGACGCAGGTCCTAGATGCAAGTCTTAAAAAGAGTCAACATTTATACATAACACACAATTTTATAGAAGTGTGACAAACGAGCACACAGTTCACCTGATGGTTACTGTGGTCTGTAGACACCTAATTAAATCATCGAATAATAATCAAAACGGAATACCAGTAGGTACTACGTTACCAGTAAGAAAAAACTGGCCAAGAGCGTGTCGGGCCACGCTCAGTGTAGGGTTCCGTAGTTTCCCGTCCTTCACAATAAGTGTTGTGTCCCACTTATGAGTTTAAAGGTTGGTATCCATTATGTTCGCGCTCCAGCAGCGCTCCTCGCTCCTGCAACTGCTCCCGGTAGTGGGTACTGTTGTTTCCATCCAAGTTCAAAATAATTTTCCTAGAAAGTCCTTATAAAGTTCTACTTTCAGATTTTTTTCATATTTTCAAAACTTATGGTTCAAAAGTTAGAGGGGGGGGACACATTATTTTTTACTTTTGGAGCGATTATTTCCGAAATTATTGACATTATCAAAAAATGATTTTAGTAAACCCCTATTCATTTTTAAATACCTTTCCAACAATATATCACACGTTAGGGTTGAAATTAAAAAAAAATCATTCCCGACTATACATGTAGGGGGGCTACCCTAATAAAACATTTTTTTCCAATTATTATTTTACTACTTTGTCGGCGTGATTGATACACATATTGGTACCAAATTTCAGCTTTCTAGTGCTAACGGTCACAGAGATTAAGCGAGGATGGACAGACGGACAGACAGACATGGCGAAACTATAAGGGTTCCTAGTTGACTACGGAACCCTAATAAAAAAATTGTTATAAATTAAACAACGTCCATTAGCAATTCTAGTGTGTAAACATGATGATCGTAATAAGAATACTAAGTATTTTGTCGTGATAGGCTGTAATGATGATGACGATGATGATGAAGCATACCTTATACCAAGCTAAGAAAAATGTGTTGGAAAGGTTCTCCAGTTCTCTACACTCACCTTACGAAACTATCACAATCACTACAGCCCATCACAAATCCACTACAGAACATACATCTCCACAATAGATTGCCAAAATGTATGGTCCTCAGATATCTCTATCCATTGACTACCTGCGTATTTCATCAGGGCGTCACACCATCTAGTGGGGGGTCACCCAAAAGGCTATGTCAGTTACTCTTGTTCAATTCTCGTAACGCTTTATAAGCCATAATTTTTGCTGGTTGTGGTGATAATCAAGTCTCCAAAATCTACAACTAGCACAATATATGACTTATTCTACTTTAACGAATTTCATCCCGCAGAGAAATTCCGAGCATAACCCTTTCAAACGCACACTTTGTGATTTTGAACCTCATCATACGGCTAGCAGTGTAACACCATGTTTAAGTTCCGATCGTCATCCTGTGGGTGTCGTAAGTGGCGACAGACGGAAACTGATGGAAAAACATGTTTTGAATCAATGATATTATAAGTAAAAAGGTATAATATCATAGTTTTGAATACTGTTTTTTATCAATGTATCGAAAAGCGTTTGCATAGTCAAAGAACATGTTGTAGTGAAATATGTTTGACAGTTTATTGTACATTACATATTTTAACTATATTATATCTTTATAACTACAGAAACAAAATGTTTGAAAACAAACTTGTAGAAATATTGTCATGTTGAAAGATAAGTTTCAATATCTGTTGAGAATTTTACACAGTTTTTATGAGTGAGAACGCCACCGTCAAGAAAACATGTTGTGTGATTTATTTTATTCAATTTGTTTCAAAACATTACGTGTTGGATGTTTCTCAGTGCAAACGTACTGTAGTAACAACTCAAAACAATAGAAACTGCGGTTGCCAATTCGCTTGCCAATTATGATGCCCACATCACCTACGGGATGATATGGAGTGATGGATATTCTTACACCACTATCACACGGCAAAGCTCTATCGTGTACATTAATAAGAATTGTGTACGTTAATAAGAATTGTGTACATTAATAAGAATTGTGTACGTTAATAAGAATTGTGTACATTAATAAGAATTGTGTTAATAGTAGAATTACTTAATAAGAATTGTGTACATTTAAGAATTTACATTAATAGAATTAAAAAAGTTGTGGATGTGTTATGAATGTTTTTGTCTCTGACTCTAGCCTAGAGTAGAGACACAAAAACTGACTCTCTAGGTTACTATCGATCTAACGACTTGTCACTACATTGGTTAAGAATAGGTTAGGACGTTTGAGTTTTCTATGTTAGCCCCAATATATTCTGCGACTGCGCACTTGATAACCTCCGATAGCAGTTAGAAGTAATCCGTTGATATCGTTATCATCAAATGATGACTCGATAACGCAGTGGCTAAGAATTTTACTGCGGAGTTGCGGGCAGGTTCGATTCCCTTACAGAACAAGTGTAGCCTTCAAATAATTATTCTGAGTCTGGGTGCTTGTCCAGATGTCAGTTTAATGTCAAAATTTATGTATGTAAAACCTCTCTACATGACATTATAAAATCTTTTTTAAGAATAAAAATATAATTAATAAATAACTTGTTTTGCTTATTTTTCAGCGTTTTGTTCAGAGAAGGACTCGATGTCGTCAATATGCGAGTCAATTAGCGGCGACGCCCCGCTGTATTCCATGTTCCGTAAGGAGCCCAGACCGGTGCCACAGCCCTGTCCGTTCCACCCTGCGCCCTTCACCTTCACATACAGCCGGTAAGTTGTTTCATCCTCATCGTCTTTTTGGGTGATATAAGTGGTCATATTACTGGAATCGATTTTTTTCTGGATAATTATACCATTAAACCATTTATTTTATGCATCATCATCATTACAGCTCTCCACAAGTTCCACTGCTGAACATAGGCCTCCCCCAAGGAATGCCTCAAAGCACGGTCCTGAGTCACCTGCACCCATCGACTTCCTGTATGTCTTACCAGGTCGTCATTCCATCTAGTGGGGGGTTGACCTACACTACGCCTACCGGTACGAGGCTGCCACTCGAGAACCTTTTTTCCCCTACGGTTATCGGTTCTTCAAGCTATATGGCCGGCCCATTGCCACTTCGGTTTACTAATCCGTGGGGCTATGTCGGACACTGGTTCTACTGCGGATATCCTCATTTCTAAGTTTATCACGCAGAGAAACCCCGAGCATAGCCCTCTCCATAACTCGCTGAGTGACCTTAAGCGTCCTCATACGGCCAGCAGTGAAGGACCACGTCTCAGATCCGTAAGTTATCACTGGCAACACGCACTGGTTGTACAATCTAGTTTTCAGATTTTGAAGTATACCTGACGAGAAGTTATGCCGTAATTTCCCAAACGCTGCCCAGCCGAGTTGAATCCGTCGATTAACCTCTCGGTCGAAGTTGGAATTAACTAGTCGAACTATTTGTCCCAGGTAAACGTACTCGTCAACAACTTCGAGCTTAGTGTACTCCCTTGTACTACCGGCATAGGTGTGACATGGACATTAAACATGATCTTTGTTTTGTCCATGTTTATCTTAAGACCTATCCGTTGGGAGACACGATTGAGGTCATTAAGCATAGTGCTTATATCCTCCAGCGATTCTGCCATAAGGACTATATCGTCGGCAAATCCAAGGTGATGTACTCGCCATTGATGTTAATACCGTATCCTTTCTAGTCCAGTAGCTTGAAAACGTCTTCCGATGCAGCGGTGAAGAGTTTCGGGTATATGACGTCACCCTATCTTACACTTCTCTGGAGTTGGATAGGTTTCGAACTCTGGTTCCATAGCCATCGTAACACTTCAGCACTTCGATATATACTGACAGTCAACTTGGCACCGCTGAAGGGACCGTAGCACCGCCCAAATTTCGACGGAATCAAAGGCTTTCTCATAGTCCACATACGCCAGTCAAATTGGCAGAATGTACTCTTCGGTCAATTTTATGCATAGAAGACCATATCTACCATCATTATCTATTTAATCAAGCTTTGTCAAATATATAAATAATACGTAAATATATATTTAGTGGTAAAATGAAAAATGACTTTCAATAAGAATTATATGTGATCAACATTGAATGAAAATTTATTCTATGTTCCATAAGTAACTGACATGTTAACGAAAAATTTAAAATGTTCGACGGAATAATATTTAATAGAATTCCAACTCTTTGAATATTTTCAGATTTCTACTCCTCACAATATTAATTTTTTTTGTTAATTGTCTGGTACGAAATAAAGTAACAAATTGAAATTTCGACGCTTGACATACCCATGGTTGACATGTAACATAACATAAAACGTAACTGTAACAAGCAAATGAAATTAGTTGCGCTAAACAAAAGTTTTTATTTTCCGTGTGAGGCTGATAAATAAGCTCTTTCACCGATCTTTTTTTAAAAGTCGGAGCTAAACGTACAACTGGTTTTTTTTTACTATAACAAATCAAATTCTAGGGGCTCCGGCGACTGTGCGAACCCGCCTTCTCGTGCGGAATCTTGCACAGACGATTCACGGTTGCTGTTGCGGTACATGGCCTGTCCGGACGTGCCCGGAACCGAGAGTAATGGTAAGTGCTTACGTTACACAATAATATAGGTACATATACATAATGTTTCATATCTTAAACAGTTTATGAAGGGATCGGTTCGGCCGGGGTAGCACCACCTTAGAGGGTGGTTCATTCATTCATTAATACATTTTCAATGCTGAAAATAAGCCTCCCCCATAGATTGCCTCATAGAGGAAAATTTTGCGATAGTTAGTCAACCTCAATTTTTAACTATTATTGAGGTATTATCAAGAAGATGCTCAGCCATATTACCCATCTCCTGTTTGAATTTCCCGTTGTCGCCCAGGTGGACTTTTGTAACATGGAAATAGTTTGTAACTTAAATATAACTTAAAAAAATAATCCTCACAACCACTTTTAACTATCAAAAATTATCTGCCTCTTAGTACAAATTTAATATATTGTATCAAATTTCAGTTGAGGAGCTTGTGTGCTTAGCGACATGGAAGGAAGGCTCGACGAGGTATCTGGTGGGCCAGATTTCACAGGTCACAAGGAGAAACTCCATTGCTTCCGATGAAGATACATACAGGTAGTGTATCTAAAATGCTTTAATACAATAATGTTTGCATTTATTTAGAAATAAAGAGTTGTAATTAGAGATTGTCACTTAGTAATTCCGATGTCTCTGTCTGAAATATTGTGATCTCTGCTGATTATATGGTTTTTTAAAAGTGTTCTTATTGTTTCAGATGTGTGTGAGAATACAACAAAATTACTCACAAACAAAACCTTTACAAAATTTTAACTATTCCCTTTAATACTTACAGATGTTTCATCTACAAGGGCCAGCACAGCGATAAAAGTATGACATACAACATCGCTCAGTCGGGGGACGCCACTTGCAACGGACTCTCATCGCCCACGGACGGCAGCCGAATTATGAAACTCACTAACAGTTAGTATTTTCAAAGCAGCACTATTATTCGCTAGGCATTCGCAATGCTTTCTTATTCTGACCTCATAATCACGATGTTTCCTGATTGGGTGTTAAAGAATTTGCTTTTTAGATTTGTCTAATGAGCGAAAAAGTTCGGAGTAAAGCGCTCGTCTAAAATTTCACAATAAGAACAATAATCTAGTTAAGGGGATATAGTAATTCAGCTCAAATTCTAATTTCGCCCCCACTTCCAGGCGCGTCGTATGCTATGCACCGACATGTTTGTAATCACTAATATTGTAAGTAGATAGGTCGTTAGATACTTATTTCATTAGGCTTATCATATTTATACGTTTCTTTACGCCAACTCAGTCGCTTCTTATTTTTATTACGGTTATTTCCTTTTTTTTCGTGCGTATTTTTTTCGTGTGACTACCGTTCAAAAGCCGAAGTGAGACTAAACCGGGTGGCAGGAAACAAGCTTCAAGACGCCGATAGTTTAGGTAATTTCTTTTTGCAGTGAAAATAATGGTAATTAAAAAAATAAAAAACATAAGCCCTGCTTTATAGTTAGTTCAGTTAGTATGCAAAGTTTCATGATCTAATTTAAAGTATTTTATGAATAACAGCGGTTTATTGTTCAATTTGGAGGTAACTTTGAATTATTTTTCTATCGAGAAAATTTTACGAAATCGTGTTTTCGTCTAACATAGTACTTAACATTATCGTCAACTTTACCATATATTTATTTTAAAATTAATGCTGCAATATTTTCGTCATAACGGAGGATCTTGCTAAGCCATTTGAGGTAGTATTTTTAATATTTTCCCTTAAATACCAACCAGCATCAGAGAAACAAAATGGATAAAAACAACTGCGATTAAAATACTTATTGATTTCCTTTTTTATTTTAATCATACACTGTGACGTCTTTGATGTCAAGTGGAGAGCTACGTGGGGCCGGGGGGGGGGGGTGACAGTCTGTATGTACGTACTTACTGTAACCGATGATTATGATTAAAGATCTTGCAATTAAAGATCTTATACTGGAGTCCGCCAGAGGCGACTAGATTTTAAGCTTTATTCATTAGTATTATTTATTTACCAAAACAACCTATATATAATATTACTACTAATTTCTTTTGGTAGTGCAATGAGGAAATGTGGTTATTCTCTCTTCATTGGTTCATTCGACTCGGTTGGCACTTACAGGTGACGACGAACACAACCGCTGCCACTTCCCAAGCTGGATCGTGGAGCACCACAAGTGGTTCAGCCTTGACCACACGCACCAGTACCACTTCACCACTAAGAACGCCACGCTCAAGGTTTGTAATCTTCCAAGCAAATACTTAGTTCTTTACAGAGTAACAGATCATACTATATCATAAGTGATACAAATCACTGAAAACGTAAGTTTTCATAATTTGTCTATTTATATATTACTTCATTTGTCTATTTTTTTATAGAATAGGGTGACAAACGAGCACACAGTCCACCTGATGGTAAGTGGTTGCTGCGGCCCATAGACATCTACATCTATCCTCCATTAAAAATCAAAATGCAGATGCGTTGTCACCCGTGAGGACTGAGATGGAATGCCTCGTTTCCAGTAAAAAGGGTCTCCGGTTCTCTACACTCACCATACGAAATACAGCAGCATTAAGCTACTATTTCACGCTGGTATTCTGTGAGAGCGTGGCCCTCCCCGGTCGAGCCGACCCATTCGTGCTACAACTATGCTACTAATATAACTGCAGCATGGCTCTACCACGTATAGAATTAGAATATTATACACTATGTAACGTAATTAACGCACACCCGCAGACACCCCAATTAGTATATTATGTTATAATCATAATACATACATTGAATTTTTATTTAAACATTTTTATGCACTGATTATTTATCAAATTAGTTATACTAATTCCGGAAGAATGTTGTGGTCATAGTACAAATCCATGAACGCAGACTTTAACGTACTTGAAATAAAGTTCATTTTTCTTTATTTTTATTGAATGACAGAATTAGTAATAATACAAATAAAACTGCACTCTTAAAAGTCTTATTGCCTTAAGTTACGGTCCATTTCAGTTTGTTTTGATTTAGTGTGACAGTAATTTACGTAGTTTTAATTATTTTTGGGATAAAAAATACCTATATTAAAAATGATAGGAATCGATTCAGTAAACAATTCTGAATAAAATACTTTCTCAAATTGCGTTAATTATGTTACGTGTTGTATATATCTTCACTTGTTATTTTTGTCACAGGAGCAACCTAAGGCGAGCGCTAGTTCTGATAATAAGACGTATACTTCTGTTTCAGATAATCAACGAGAACGGTTCATTCGAGGAGAAGCGGCTAGTGTGCCACTCGATACTGGAGCAGAAGGATAAGAAGTACATAAAACTTGTCGCACACGTGACCAGGGGATGGTAAGAACTTTTTAAAAGTAGTAGAGGGAGAACTCTAGTTATGTGCATTGCAAGTATTTAAAAAAAGAAGTGTGTAAAAAAATTTGTGTTCTCATCATTATTGCAATTCTTACAGCCTTATTTAAAATTATTGATCGCTGACTTAAATACGGTAATAATTATCTATATACCTGTCTCTTTCTATTGTCATTTAGTAAAGAAAGAGTAAGCAACTTGGATCATTTCATAAGGTGACATCGATTTTGATAAGAAAATCCGTTTAATCATAACTGTATGCCTATCTTTTTCACTTTCACAATACAGGTCCGGGGCATATTTTTATTAAAAATTATCGACTTCGATCTAAAAAGCACGTGTGAACTACTCTAATATTGATTAAAATACTTTTACGGATTTTCGGTTTTTTTATTTTTATTTTTATTTATTTTTTTTTGACGGATCATGTGGGTAAGTAGTTTTGTAAGTTTTTTTGTGGGTATCTTGAGAGATGCCTTTACGATCTCTGTATGACAACAGCGTAACCATGTCATATTGAAATCGTATTTAAAATATCCGTTCCATTACATACAATATACTTTAGACCGGTACACTAATCCTTACGCCAATTGTGACGATTACGGTAAATCCACTGAATCAACTCGTGTGGAAGAGACCCATGGTATCGTTTTATCCGGCTCGAAGGACCGTTAGCACAGCCCCCGCCCCCGAGCCAGCGCTGGGACGCGGGCTGTGCTAACGCTGAGCTGTGGTGGCGGCGTGTTGCAGCGAGTCGGGGCACGTGTGCCTGCGGTTCGCGCGGCGCGAGGGCGACGTGCTGGAGCTGCAACAGGGTGCCGGCCTGTGGGACGCGCCGCAGGACGCCTGCGCCTCCGACGCGCCGCAGCCATACGTCACGCTCATCAGTCAGTACACAGATTTACTTTATTTTAATAATATAAAGTGTAGTAGCTAGTGGCACGACGCACGCTTATACGTCACGTTTGTTTTGTTAATATTACGATTCGCCAATTAAGTCAGGACAAGGCTTTAGACCATACAGCCTAGTTTGATTTGTATTTTCTACACTAAAACTTCATAATTTGCTATTGTACCACAATGAAAAGTTTTTGGAAGATTTTGGCGATACCTTAATCCAACCCTACAGGAATAAAATACCCTACTAAAACTATACGCTTTCACTGATAATTCACATGCGCAGACATTAAAACACAAAATCGCACCAGTATTGTGTATCAGATTCAGTTCAAACCGTTATTCAAGAGATAAAACTGGAACAACAATCTGAAAACGGTCAAGTTTCCACCACAACCTATGTTACGCCCACCAGTCAGTGAACGGTTTAATATTTCTATTAATTGTGTGATGATGATTTATGTCAAAAAGAATGCATCATCCATATTTCTCGTGTCGGGTGTCGTAGGAGGCGGCTATGGAAAATGTTAAAAGGCCTCGTGGCATACGTTCTTATTACAAATCATGGTTTTTTAACAATCACGAGCTTAAATAATTTACTTGTCATGAAAAATATCCTTAACCGCGGTGGTACAAAATCAGTCTCCGGAAAATTTGATATTTGCTATCAATGAAATAGATTCTAGCTTAAACAAAATAGTTTTAAGAAAAAATATAAAATGATAAAATAATATATAACCTATTTTTCTTACTCTATTATTAATTTCAAATATTTGAAGATTTTTTATCAACAATTAAAACTGTAAATTAAATTATTTTTATCAACATATCATTAAATTTTACAGCTACTTCACTGACACCGATGCGGTGTCCCATCATCGGTCGTTACTCGGTCGTCAGTTCGCTGGCGGACAGCAGGAGGAGAAGGCAACAGGACACCATAGGTAACAACAAAATTAATTTTCATCATCATTATTATCAAAGCCCATCGCTGAACATAGGCTTCCTCCAAAGGAACTGCCATAAAATCCATTTTCATCAATTGACAACCGTCGACTTTCCGCATGGTTTATAGATACTTGTGTGACCCAGTTAGAGAAGCTACTGAGAATCAAAATAACTCAAATCTTATATTGATGTAACTCTGATGAAGAAACACTGCTTATAAAATATTCTTATTTATTAAGTAGTATTTTAAATACAAATCTAGGAAGACTATAGAAAAAGACGTTGCCTTTTAATGTTTACTTTGATAATGGTGATACATCAAAATGTCAAAAAATGTACACTGTGTAGAAGTACCACAAGTGTCATGTGTTAAAAAAACAGTTGCATCTGTCATCAAATAATAATAATGTCCTCCATACAGTTTCTGTACCAGCGGCCAGTCTCTACTGAAACTATAAAATATCTCCATCTCGTGAGAGGCCGTCATACACCCCACTTACCGGTACGAAGCTGCTTTTCCGATACCTTTCTCTATCAGTTGTCAGACCAATATGGCCGGCTTCCGACGGATCCGATCCGTGAGACTAATGTCTCTAGTTTTACTGCGGATGTTCTCGTTCGTGTCCAAACCTTGCTGGGGGGCTTTAAGGTGATAGCTCGAAAATTTGATGGTTGTTCTATTTAACATATTTTTTTAAGTTTTATAGATTACAAACCAAAATTTTGGTATATGATTTTTGACTATATGTATGACCTTGGATTGCATAAAAGGAAAACACGTTATCATATAATTTTCTCGCTAGGGAAAAATTTCAAAGTAGGCTCTAATTATTTACATTTCTCCATGACACCACAATATTCCTACGAATAAGTTCATGAAATTATTTTAAGAGTATAGTTAATAATCATATCTAAGTTCTACTAAACCAGTTTATTAATCCATAACAATTTTTTGTTAAAATAAATAAAAATGTTGTTTGGCGCTTACGTAGCTTTTTCCGAGCGCGTACTGGAAATGGCTATCTCATAATTTGCGTACTATGAAGTCATTGCATCACTTTCATTTTGACACTCCCTCAGTCGTCCGTTAGCTTCACCGACAAAGGAATAAGCCACGCCCCCAAAACTTCGATTCATCTTCAAGGTATCCTCTTAAGAGTTTTCGCTATGCAATTTTAACCGGAAATTGTTTTTATTGCAGGAGATATGGAAACGGGCGTCGGTCCGTCAGAGTGCGTGTCGGGGCAGTTCGACAGCGCGAGCGTGGGCTGCGGCGCCGCGCAGGACACCATCGAGTTCAAGTCGCCCTGCACCACCGCCGGTGATACAAGCTGCCTCACTTCACACTTTCAATTTACACGACGGGACTTTATATGACGTGCCACCACTTTTATGACGTGACACCACTTTTATGCGTAACTTTATGACGTGACACCACTTTTATGAGTGCAATGGTGACACACTTTTATGACGGCACTTTTATGACGTGCCACCACTTTTTATGACGTGACACTTTTATGACGTGACACCACTTTTATGATGTGACACCACTTTTATGACGTGACACCACTTTTATGACGTGACTTAATATTGTGAGACGTAACAAAGTACATCATTTAAAAACAGAAGTTTGCTCTGTTGTATTTTGAATGGTGTGCGAGCGTGAGAGTACCTTATATAACGTACTTTTACCTATAGTACAATAAATAATTGAAAGTATATTGGTCTTAACACCACCGTGTAGTGGCGGCTTGAGTATATCCACTGTCCCACATCATCACATGGGTGTTGTAAGAAGTGACAAAGGGGAAAAATCAGGAGATAGGCTTTTTAATAGCGACTTAAAATAAAATTAAAATTGCGGTTGCCAACCCGCTTGCCAAGCGTGGCAACTATGGCAAATATCCCCTCTATGAAGCAATATATGAAGGAGGCCTATGTTCAACAGTGGAGTGGTGGATAGGCTGTAACAATAACAGTATTTTGATTTTTATAATCATAAATATAAGTGATTTTTAATTTAGGTGATTCAAGTAATATTTGATGTCGTTACGTCTGATTCTGAATAAGTCTGACTAATACATTATAGTGTGTATTTCGACATGTTGTTTTAGGCTTAAGTACTGCTTAAATGCTATACCATTAAACTAAGAATTTCTATTATAGAAAAAAGAAGTCTTTTCTTCAGTACTCTTAGTAACATAGTATATTGTAAAATGATTTTTATACTTAAACTTACATGTTATCGACAATACAGTTGAACGCTTTTGGTTTGTGATCGACATACTAATCATTGTGTTAAATATTGCAGCGTACACATGTCATGGTGGGTGGGTGGAGGGCCCGGTGGGATTCGTGATCGCGTCTCCCGTATCGCGTGCCTCTTCGCATCCGCGCACTTTCTGTTTCATGTACACACTGCATCCGCGAAACGGTCAGTAACCACAAGACACTTCCGAACTAAAACACTTCCAACCCACTCACTCGTACTATTATCCATTTCCATATATTTCACTTTTAAGATTTTACCTAGAGTTTTTGCAATCCACCAAGTAGAGCGTGCTTTACTTGTGTTTGAACAAGTAAAGCACGCTTGTTGTGTATTATTGAGTATGCGTTTTAGTAATGTACTTTTACACTCCGATTCCGAATGAGTGATCGGTTTGAAACGTGCCGTCGCTAACCATACCCGCTTTTGGTCCCACGTAAATTTTGACACGCATACGAATATGTGTTTAGCACAAGTAAAGCTCACTCGACTTCGTGAATTGCAAGAACTTTTTTTAATAGAATTTAACGTGTTCAACCAATATATAGTATATACGCAAGCGTCTACTGGTACTGGTTCCGTATGCGACGTATTAACACAGTACATGCGGCGCACAGTAGACTGTCTAAGGCGTATGCGACAAAGAGATTACAAACGATTCCCCCTTATCTCCCTTTTAACTGCCGGCTGAAGTTGGGAGGGGGAAGTAATTTTAAAAGTACGTTACAAAGGAGCACACAGTCTTTCTGATGGCAGGTGAATTTACGACCCAAAGGCGTCTACATATATCCATTACAATTCAAAATGTTGATGCATTGTCGCCCTTGACGACTGCCTAGTTTCCAGTAAAAAGGGTCTCCGGTTCAGTCATTATGCGAAACACACTGGTCACTGGTCTTTCTCCAGTCGAGCCGACCCACTCGTGATACAACTGTAATTTAGTTGCAGCGTTGCTACCACTTTGAAACTACTGAAACTGGTTCCTATGCTACTATTTACACAGTAGCAGTATCTTGCTGGTGTACTGTTTTTTTTACTATTATAGTCAGCGCTTGACTACTATCTTACCTGATGGAAAGTGGTGATGCAGTCGTAAAAGGTATATCGCATTGATTTGACTAAAGCCTATTCACTCTCACCTTGACTATCTAAGACGTGTGCGATAAAGAGAGGACGATTCTCTCTTGATTCTTTCAAATGCCGGTTGAAGTTGGAGAAGATGGTAGATCTATGCTGCAGCTATATTATCTGGTTGGATCGACCGGGGAGGAACACGCTTTTACAGAATAAGAGTGTAAAATAGCAGATTCATGCTGCTTTGTTTCGTTTGAAGAATGTAAGAAACCGGGGACCACTTTTGTTGGAAACGAAGCATTCCATCTCAGTCATGAATGCATTTTTATTCTTGATCGAGGCTAAATGTAGAAGTCAATGGACCACGTCACCGAATTACCATTGGTGGACTATATGTTCGTTTGTAACTCTTATTGAAAAAAAGTGTGTTTGCACTTTTCGCCTATAGAACTTTAAAAGTGAACAAATTGTGACGTTGAACCCTGGACCTTGCAGAGAGTGGCGGTGGCATTCTGGCGCTGAGCGCGGTGGCGCACTCGTGCGACCGGCGCCTCACGCCCGGCCGCGCCGGCGACAAGGCATACAACCTCACCGCTAACGGTACGTAATATTTCCCTTCTTCTCTTGTTATCTTTACAGCTTTAGACGTGGAGGTTAGAGAGAATGATCGCAACGTACTAAAGCATAGTCCGCCTGTCCCTGAAAATTTGTAGAATTTATAGCGGCGCTGCCGTCGGTGAGTAGTGACTGCGAAGTTAGCTGTTTATGAGTACAAATAGATGAAGTTAGTTGAATATTGTACAAATTTTCTTCGCGGCATTGGTGCGAAAATAATCGTGCTCCGTGATTTTTTAATTTTTGACAAAAAGAAACATAAAAAATGGAGAAATATTTTATTGTGCATGGATATGCAAGTGGTTTAGCATCTAATCGGAAAAATAGACTGAAAATGACTTTTATTGAGAGAATTTAGCGATCGCAGCGTTTCACTTATTTTGTCCATATTTCTGGGACATTATTTTCTACAACGATCGTTCTCCTTTTCTTTAACCTTCATAGCTTTAGATCTGTATTTGATATTGCATGTGACAGTTTAGAGAATAAAATGAGTGAATGAATGAACAGAAGTACGAATTAAAAGGAGGACGAGAAGAGCATTGCTTTCTGGAAGTCAAATGTCTGTACTGATAAAAAATAGCTGAAATTTAAAGACAGCCAAAATTAACTTCCACTTATTATTATATAAGAAAAATCGTATAGTGTATAAAATATAATCTGTATTTGTATAAAATCATAGATGTTTACTTTATAATAATTACGTGTAGTCTATACTTCCACTTCAATTATTATACTTGGTACATTTATTTAATAACGAAGTTTCGTTATTACGATTTCAAAATTTTAGTAAGCACTCCTTAGTTATATATTGTAACTCAGACCTCAATTAAAGAATTTTTTTTTCATTTTTGTCATGTGAAATTAGTCTTATCTTATTCTTTATAGCTCCTAAATGTCCACTTTTGGACATGGATTACTCCGTTATAGACTACCACAAGCCCACTGCTGAACATAGGCCTTCCTAAGGATTACCTTTTAGAGGGATAATTGCCATAGTTGCCATGTTAGTATGTAGTTGGCAACCGCACTTTATTATTTATAAGTTTTTATTGTTATTAGAAATACCCTGCTGCCCAACCCCTGTCGTTACTTTCTATTGCCTCTTACGGCACCCACGGGATGATACGGGCTAGTGGATTTTTTTATAGGATAAGGGTGACAAACTAGCACACAGTCTCCCTGATGGTAAGTGGTTGCTGTGACTTGATTACGAATTAAAATGCAGATGAGTTGTCACCCGTGAAGACTGAGATGGAATGGCTCGTTTCCAGTAAAGAGGGTCTCCGGTTAATCTGCCATTTTACGCTGGTATACTGTGAGTGCGTAGTCCTTCCCCGGTCGAGCCGACCCATTCGTGCTACAACTATACTACTAATATAGATGCAGCTGGCTCTTCTACGTATAGTGGATATTCTTACACGGCCACTACACGGGTAATTAATGTTATAGGATTTGCCAAAACTGCTACGCTAAATTGTTTAATCTCTTACTTTTGGATCCCGGTATTTTATTGTTGTACGTGAAAAGGATGATTATTAACGTATATCATCCCTTTCACATATTATAGTAACGTACGTAACTTATTGGAAACCATGAATCTTACTTAAATTTCTCGTACACACGCTTCTTTAAACGTCCACAGTTTGAAACGGTCTTTCTTTTAAGATCACCAAAGGTCTATAGATCTGATTATTTCAAAATTGGGAGTATTTCCTTTCCAGGTACATGCGAGCAGAGCAGTAAGTACAACAGCGTGGCGCAGAGACTTACACCCGCCGGCGCGCTGCTGCTGGTACTAGTGGCCGCGCTGCTTGCCACCCTCCACCTGCCCCTACCCCTCGTCCTCACGCTGACCCCCTCCCCCTCCCTCTCCCCCGCGCTCGCCAGCAGATGATACGTCACCGCACGCTAGGAGCGCCGCGACCACGCCCGTGCTTCATTCTGCAACAAGTACCAACCTTCCTCCTCGCAACATTTCCTTAGACCACCGTTTAATTTGCGCGTAAAGTGCTCGCTGCTGTCACATATTAAGAAATCAGCATAGTAAATAAATTTGCGGCGTTTATTCACAAATAGATTTCCTAGTTTTGGTAAATATTAAGGACACATCTATTTTAGTCGTTTAATATATCGCTGTGTTTGACTGAAATATTTTTGATTAATATTTGGCCGATATTGACGCAAACTGCGAGTGCTGTCATTTCAGTTTCTGAACTAAAAACATTCGAAAACTCAACATTTCTTGTCCATTAGCTTATTGAAGAAGAAAGTACTTTGTACCAAAGTACTTTCTTATATAAATTACTAAATCGGGCTGAATTTGGAAATGTATTTGTTTCCGCAAAAACTTCACACTTTATGACATAGAATGACAGCCACTTGCAACCACGCACTTTATTGTGATAGGTTTCTGTTAACATTACTTTTAACGAATCTTTTTAATACTTAACAATGTTTTAAATGTTTTGGGAAAGATGACAAGTGTTGCTATAAGTAAAATGGCTACAACAAAGCCGATTACCATTTAAAAAAAAGCTTGCCAGGAGTTTTTTCTCCAAGTCATCTTGGGGATATGATCATCTTGGGATCTTCATGACAACTTCATGACTTCAGTCGCTACTTACAGTATCCACGAAGGAAACAGAGTGACCACATCACTTCTATATTTGTATAGCGAACTATAAATTTTAATTGGCAACACTGATGCTATGATATACTTCTTGATCAAAACTGTTAAGCGCATGGCAGCTAAGACGTCTTTAGAACTAGGGAGGGAACCCTGGAACGGTGATTGGTCACTAGGCGAAGCGGGGACAGAGGCAGGGTGCGGGTGTCGAAACCGCATTCCTGTCATGCGCCTAATTGTTTTGGCCAAGTTGTGCTCACTAACGAACACATTGTAAGTCTTGTTTAAGTGATATATTCATTGATTGTTGTAGAACTGCCATATAATATTGAATTACCGTATATGGTAACCAGTTGTTTAAACTTTACCTATTATTAGCACGTGAAGCACTGATAGTCTACGCAAACATTTAAGCATATTTAATTATAATATTGGTGTTGCTTTCATTGTGATACGGCGTTAGTACATTTTCGTGTTATTTTTTATTCATCCAGTGATTAATCAAAAACACGTCGCGGCCATCTTTGAATTATGCTTTCGTTTTTTATATTTGTGATGTTGGCAGCTTTTACCTTTTCTTTACATGTTTTAGATTACGAATGTAAGTAATTTTAATATTTATTACCTACTTAGTATGCGTTTTAGTAATGTACTTATCTTTGTGGAACATTTGCAAAATGATTTGTATAATAAAATTACCACAAATAGGTGGTTATGACCATCCCGTACCACAAAGAAGTTTACATTACACTTATTTACCTATACGTAATATTATTTTTAGGTTAGTCGGGAACTAAACAATGTTAAAGAGAAACGAAGCAACGTAATCATATTGTAAATATATAAAGATGGTATAAAGTTGGTGAAAGAGAAAAATATTCGATTTTTATAATGTTACTTATGTAATTTTAATTGTAATGCATTTTCTTTCATAGAAACTATCCAGCATAGTCTATGGCAGGATTCGAATAAAGTAAAACAACAGAGACGATTATTTCAACTAGTTTCTGGGACTACGTCTACATGTACGTTGTACAATATATCTATATATATATATATATATATGATATTATTTATAGAAGAAAACGCTTTCGGGTATACAATTGTACTGTATGCTAAATATTATACAGTTTAAAATTAAATAGATAGACATAAATGTAGAAAAAATTATTATGCTCAGCATCTTTCTTTTTGAATACGTCCATGTTTTTTTAATTTCCTTAACATTTTAAATCGATACGTGCTTTCGAAACGTGATTTGAAATTGACAAAAGGCTAATTTCAAATTACGTTTTCGCCTACCTTGCTAAATAAAGTCTTAAAGGGATTTTTAAAGCTGAAATGTGATAACGTACATCTAAAATTGTCTGCTATTATTTGAATATTTTTAGTATAGTGCATTATTTTATTTCTATCCTTCTCTCGCTTTAAAGTCAAAACGCTATCGTTCGTAAAATCTTGACCAATAGTAGATTTAAAAGTGTAATTGCTCATACGAAAAAAAAATAGTTTGAAATTTTATTTGTGATATAAACGATACCTTTTAAGATTAAAATAAATGATGTACATACTCACTAGACTCAAGTTCCTGACACGACTCACTTTAATTTTCCTAATTTGATTTTGTGATACTCAGACAGCATTCATTTTATTGGAAATATAGTTTGTAAGTAATTGTGAATTGAGATTGCAATGTCAATGCTTGCCTACAGTGAACCTATTATTTAAAAGAAAAAGTTTAAAATTGTAGCCCAAAAAGACTATTGTAAATATAACTAGCTAATAATTTATATACAATCATATTTTATAAGTATAACGTGTTTTTAATAAAAAATACAGGACGAAAGTATTAATTTAAAAAAAAATAACCGAAGATAATAAATAGCGATAGATAAATTGAATGAAGAATATATTAAAAATACACATTTTGTTTTCTTTTTTTAAATTAACCACACGAAAATGTTGTTTGCACTTGAAGTTTGGAGCGAGTATTTTCACGATGTAGCTGTTAAGGCCGCTTTTGTTTCTTTTTTTTAAATAAATAAGCGAAGTTTCACAATGTGAATAAAGTGCACTGACAATTTATGTAAAAAACTATGATACTCTATGGAAATTGTAATTTATCGGCATGTAAATATTTTCGTTTTATTTTCAGCTATTTACGATGGATGTTTAAATTTTGTGATATCAATTTTATTTCGGGCTTCATATTATTAAGCATTTGTATAGCGTTTAAGAAATCTAAGAGGGTTTTTGGATAATTTTGCTTCTTTCTTTTATCGTGGAACAATTGGTCATGCCATGAGATACGATTTGTAACTATTAATGTGTAAGCCTATTATTATATTTTGATTACTGAAATATATTTGAAAATCATAATTTGTGTTTTTACTTCAGCCTTGTGATGTTTTTGTGTTTCCCTAGTGTACAATTATTACAAATAGATACAACATACAGCTGGAAGTGTTAGTGTCGTCTCAAGGCCAGAGCATCTTGTGATGAATCTTCTGCTCCAACATTTTGTGTTAGGTATTTTGTTTTCTATTTTGGACCTTTGGCACAGCGTCGGTGTCGTTCATACATAAGCGCCTACCAAAGTCCACTACTGAATAAGCCTTTCCGGTAGATTCTCCCATAGGAGTGATATCTGCCATAGTTGCCACCAGGTTGGCAGCCACACTCTTATGATTTTCAGTTGTTATTAGGAAGATGCCACTCCTGTTTCCTCTGTCGATTTTTCCGATACCCACGGGATGATTTGGTGTAGTGGATATTCATACACAGCCATTACTCGGTAACAGCGACAGCGTTGCCTTATTTTACTGCAATTGCTTCTTAATTTATTACGAGCCATCTGAGACTTTTGAAGCCATATAAGAAATACCTACTTTTTTATTTATTTATTACACAATTATAACATCATTACAGTTATTAAACCAATGCGATGCTATAACTAACCTAAATATAAGAAACTACTGACTAATAACTAATGATATCTAGTATGAAATCTATCAAATTGATGGTAAAATAAAATACTAATTAAAAACATTACAATTTTGGACTTTTACTTAGACAAAGCTATACGGCCTTCGATCGGGTTTGGCACAAAACGGAAGCACGATGGGGGTATCGTAAGCCTATTAATGATGGTGTTCCACAGGGCTGTGTGCTATCGCCAACACTGTTTCTTCTGCATATCAATGATATGTTGCAAACCCGTAACATTTATTGCTATGCAGATGACAGCACTGGTGATGCTCTATACACCGGCCGTGCCAATATTTCTCGGGATAACGTCTCTGAGTACCGGGACAAACTTGTGTCTGAAGTCGAGTCTTTGCTGAACAGAGTCTCGGATTGGGGGCGACTAAATTTAGTCCAGTTTAGCCCCCAGAAGACACAAGTTTGCGCGTTAACTGCTAAAAAGAACCCCTTTGTCGTATCTCCCCAGTTTCAGTAGGCACTCCCCTTGTTGCCTCAGCCAGTATTGGTATCCTCGGCGTCGACATATCGATTCACATTCGTGGTCACTTGGAAGAGAAAGCCAAACTGGCCTCTAAAAAGCTTGACGTGCTCGGCAGAGCGGGACAGTATTTCATGCGGGCACACCGCCTGCGACTTTAGAAGGCGCAGTTTCGGCCGCACATGGAATACTGTTCCCATCTCTGAGCTGGGGCTCCCCAGTACCATCTCCTTCCACTTGACCGCATCCAGCGCAGAGCGGCTCGAATCGTCGACGACCGAGCGCTGCGAAGAGATGTTGCATCTCTTTGCATTTTCTGTCGCATATACCATGGCGAGTGCTCTGAGGAATTGTTCGGATTAATCCCAGCCGCCAAATTTCGTGAACGCACTACGCGGCAAACGTCTAGATACCATCCACACCATCTGAATGCTTGACGGTCCACCACTGTACCTACGTTTCACAAGGAGTTTTCTTCCGCGTACGACCTCTCTGTGGAATAGTTTACCACCGGCGATTTTTCCGTACCGATACGACCTGGGGACCATCAACAAAAGAGCTTACTCCTTTTTAAAGGTCCGGCAACGCACCTGCAATTCCCCCTCGTGTTGCGGTTGATCATGGGCGGCGGTAGTCAATTAACATCAGGTGAGCCGCATGCTCGTTTGCCTCCTCTTCTATAAGAAAAACGCATAATTCAGATACAAGGAAACACCGAAAAGCCTCGATTTTTTTCTCTCAGTATAATTTCATTTCTCACTCTCTCACGATATTTATTGGCTGCTGAGGCCTCATGTCTGTAACA